ACGACCTCATAGCCTTTCTGATCACAAGGTGCCACTGTCAGAACGGGGAGCGGGATGTCCCATCATTCAGGCAGGGCAACCCTGCCAGTGATCAGCCGAACCTTGGGGCTCTGCTGCGGGGTTCCAGGCTGCACCGGGGCCCTCGTTGCCGCCAACGTTCGACGTTCCCTCGGGCCAGCAGCCGGTGGAATCCAGCCGCTCTTCCCCAAAGCAGGGGGAGAAATGTGCAGCCGTTCATGCAGCAGTGAGGGGCCGGGAGATGCCTCTGCCTGCAGCCTCCGCAGGAGCTGCGGTGTCCGGGTTTGTTGGCACTGCCTCGGGGTGCGACAGTCCGGCCGGGTACCCTTTTCTGCCCCCGGGAATACAGGGAAGAAGTCGATGCAGAGGGAAAGTTCCTCGAGACCAGGTGGAGAAAGCCCTTAGCCCAGCAGCTACTGTAGCCCTAGGCTACAGTCGGCTACACAAATGGAAACGGCGTCACAGACCGAAACCGGCCGGGTTGCCCTGGGCTGGAGGCCGTGCCTGGTAGAGCAGCCGCGGGACACCGAGCTCCCTGTGCCCGGGGCTGGCACACGGAGCCAAGCTCGGGTCATAGGTCACCCTCAGCTGCGATGTGGGAGCCTCTCCCCTTTCCCGAGCGGCTCCAGGGATGGGGTCCCGCCCCCCCGAGGGCGCTGCGCGATGCTGGCTGCAGCACCCAGCTTCTTGGCAGCTCCCCCGGTCCTGCCCCGATGAGTGGGATGTGGATAGGGGTGGAGAGGGCCGGCCGGGCTCCGTCCCTCCTGTAGCCGCCTATAAAGAAGGACGCGCTGGGCTGAAGTGCCGGCTCCCCAGGCACGGCCCCATGGCATCAGGCGCGGTGGTGGGCGAGGCGCTGGGCGGGGAGCGCATCCTTGGGACGCCGTACCACGGGTCTCAACACTGTCGGCGCCCCTCGCCCTCTCCTCGATACCCCCGGCCACCCAGGCGACCGCGGGACCAAGCCGGTCCCGCCGTTGCCCTTCTCCACCTAGCTGCCGTCGTCCCGCCCGGAGCCACCCCCGCCCCTATCCGCAGACCCCCGTCCCGCTCCGCCCTGCGGAGTGCCGCCCAGCCCGCCCCTCAGGGTCCGGAAAGTTGGCCGGGGCCGGCTGTGAGTGTCGGTGCCCCCCTCGACGGCACCCCGGGGTTTCTCTCTCCGTGCGCCCGCCCCACACGCCGAGATGCTGCCGGGAGCCGGCCCCACGTGGGTTCGGGGCCGCCGAGGCGCTGCCTCAGGGCCCCGCGGGGCTCCGACCCTTCTTCCCAGGGGTGGCCGAGCCTCCTCCTGCGGAGACCCCCTAAAGCAGGGAGCTGTCCCCCAAGTCTTGGGGAAGGCGGTGGGGGCAGCCACCCAAGGCACTCCCTCCTCCCCGGCACTTACCCCTTCGACCTGTTGAAGGTTTCCCCTCATATCTGAACTGGCAAAAATTAAGGG